TAGTTCCATAGACCCATTGAAGAAAGTGATATCTTGGAATCTGTAAGCAATGTTCCCTTCAATCCTTTCTTGATTTGCAGACTGGGCCTTTATTGGCGCTATGGGATTGCCGAAGATGATGATGTCCAATGGAATTGGTTGTGCAATGGCGTGAGCAAAGTTATGGAAGCCGGATGTGGGTCCTACGCTTTTTCCGTTGCCCCAGCAGCTCCTTGGTGTGGCTACCCTGAAAGCCATATCCCTACAGCTTGCGCCTCAAGTCCACACTCTCTGCAAATAGGATGAACATCATTTCTTTAGTTAATTTGAGACTCAACAGGTGTGAAAGTGAAACATATATCGAAACCCTCCCTTTGAACCATATTAAACTTTGCATTTTTTTCACGGAGTTTAACAGAAGTTGAAAAAAAAGTGAAAATGTACGCAGAGAAGAGAAAATAATGTCCAGTCAATGCTTTCCTTAAATAGAATGGAAACTTTATTTTAGGACAAACGAAAAAAGAAAGTAAGTTTTTTTGGACAGGCACACAGCCAAGAATATGAAGCCTACTGCTGTTTTCTTAACCACAATGAATTCAAAACCAGATTGATGATTTGAGGCCCCAAAAAACAAAAGATAGACCGAGTTTAATAACAAGAACACCATACAAGTAAAATCACACAAACAGGGTCGGGGGATGGGAGTATGCATACCTTACTGCATGAAATTTTCACACCTCTTTGGTCAACCTTGCCTAGCTAATCTCAGGCTTAGAATGCGCAGACTTCGAACAAACAACAGAGGGTTAGATTGATACACACAGCAAAGATATGAAATTTAGTGTATCCATCAACCATGCACGAGAGATATCGGATTTGATGTATCCATCCATCATGCAAGGGAGATATCAAATGCGATGTATCCATCAAGAATTGGGAAAAGTTTGAAATTTGGGAAAAAGTAACAAACCTAATTTTTTTTCGTAGTGTATCACTCAATCTAGTAAAACAAGAAAGTTCAACTCACTAATATGATGATAAAGTTCATGATTGGTTTAGTTTACGTCCAGCGGTCCTGTCCAGCAAGAGTACCTGCAATAGGGAAGCATTAATGGTGTTGTGGAGTATTTCGTGTTTTTTTGTGTTTCTTAAATTGTCTAAAATGGTGAATGTGCATTTTGTTACCG